ATATTAAATCTATAATACTAGCTAGTAAAGACTTTAATAACCTTAATAAGACTTGAATTATAAGTCTGGCCTTTAGATTTCTTACTTAACTTAAAGATTAAGTAATTTATAATAGGTTATTTATTATAGAATATATTGTATTCTTTTCCTAAAAAGTACCGGATACTAGTAATAATCCGGAAGTTCTAAAGCCCTTAAGACTTTTTATAAGTTTTGGGCTTTAGAGCTTTTCTATAACTAGCTAATTATATAAAATTATATAACTATATAGGTCTAGTATTAATATAAAGCAATTAGTAACTTTATATATAAATATAATATGATTTTTAGTATAGCTAATCTAATATATTATATATTTATATATAAATACTTATAATTTCATTATTATAATATAATATATTTTTAATATATCCTTAATATAAAAATTTCTTTATAATTCTAGACTTTTAGAAGCCTTTTTTATACTAAAGATAAAGTATATAATATAATTTAGATATTAAACTTAAAAGGCAAAGAATTATAAAGGCTCTAATAATTATAAAACTTTATAAACTTAAATAAATTTAAATATTATAAAAGTATTAAATTTAATAGCCTAACTTTTAAATTATATAAGAGCTAATTAAAGAGTATTATTTTAAAGTATTAATTATAAATTTCAAATATATATATATTTATAAGAAAATAAGACCCAAAATAATACTAAGCTAATTATAAGATATAGGAAAAAGTATATTAGATATTAGGTATATTTTTTCTTAATTACCTTAACCTTAATAAATATTTATATATAATTTATTAGACCTTATATAATAGATTTATTTAGGAGAAATAAGATTAATTAGTCTAGGAAATTTAATAATAATAATTAGATTTCTATTTAATATAATAAGTAAAATACTAATAATAGCCCGGGTATTTTAGGTTTTATTTATAAAACTAAAGATATTATATCTATTAATTCTCTATATCTAATAAGAAAAAGAAATAATATATTTATATTTTTAATATACTTATTATTATATAATAATACTTATATAATTTATAAAATTAATTATAGTTTTCTTTATTAAAAAAGAAAATAGTAAAATTAAAAAAGAATCTAATAATCTATTACTATTATTATTATTAATAGCTTTAATATTATTATTACTATTAGAATTAGCTTTAGTAATACTTTCTATAATACTTTCTATATTATCCCATAACTTCCAGAAATTAGTAAATAAAGAAGAATTCTAATATATATAAGTTAATTAAATCTAAAAACAAGAGTCTATAGAAAGAATAAAGAATAGAAGCCAGAATTAAAAGAAAGAATTATATATATACTTTTATTTACTTACTAGTTTATTAGATTTCTTCTTATTTTTAAAGTCTTATATTTATACTAATAGGTAATACTTTCCTAAACTCTCTAGGTCTCCTTAATTTATTATTTAATTTCCTTAAGTTACTATATTTTCTAAATATTTTCTAGCTCTTTATAAATAACTTTAAGATAAAGATCTTTATATAAAGTCTTATTTTAGTATAAAATAAGGAAAATTATTTAAATACTTTTAAGGCCTAGATATATATTATAATAGGAAAAATTAAAGATAATTTAAATAGAACCTAGCAAGATTATAAGTTCCTGGGCTTTTTTATTATTAGAACTAGTATAGAATACTAGTTTATTTATATTATTAATAAATTAATAATAGTAAATAGGTTTACTAATATAAAGAAAGAAATAAGAGAATAGCTACTAAGAAACTATATTAGAAAGAGTAGAAAAGACTTAATTATTTATTTTAAATTAAAAGCTACTTATTAAAAAACATTTATTAGAATTTATATAAAGAATCTAGTAAAAGAAATAAGAGAAAACTTACTATTAATTTCTTTAAAAAGTTAGATAGTTCTTTACTTAGCTTTCTAATTCTTTATATTATTAAATATCTATTTATAGAGAACTAGCTATAAAACTATAATTTATAATTCTATAAGACTAGATCCGGCTATATTTTAATTTATAAGACCTTAAAGGGCTTTAGGTAGCCTATTACTAGTATAAGAAGTTATAGCCTGGGTAATAGCCTAAATAACTCTTATATTTATAGCCTATTAAGCTTATATAATAGTATAAGTATTACTAGAAAAGTAGTTAGGTTAAGTAATATAGCTTATAGTAAAAGGAAATATAAAAGAAAGTAATTATAAGGCTATTAGAATAGGAAGAGCCTAAAATAAAACAGAAATAGTATCTAGTAGCTATATAATAATAATAACTAGAGAAATAAGTATAGTAGATATTTCTAGAAAAAAAGATACGAGATAAGAATATTAAGAAAAGCTAGAAATCTAAAGTATTTCAGATATAAAAAGAGAAATAAATACAGGCGGAATTTCAGAGCTATAAGATTTAAGTTTACTAGTATTACTATTCTAAATAAGTAAAATAGCGGCTTCTATATTATATTTATTATTAATAAATTAATAGAACTCGTAATATTAGATATTACTATATTAGTATTTAGCTATAGGGCATATAGTATTAGAATAGGTTTTAAGAAATAGTAATACTATTTTAAGAATTAAGAATTTAAGAATTTAAAATATTTATATAATAAATAAACTTAATAATTCTATTAGTATTACTCTTAAAAGTAAAAAAGAAATTTCGAAAATAATATATTTAATAATAAATAATATCTATCTTAATATATCTAGTTATTTTATAACTAGCTTATTTAATTATCTTATATTATTAGAAGTATTACTAATAAAGGGCTATTCTTAAGTAAAGTTCTAGATTATTAGGAACTATATAGGTATTCTTCTAGCCTATATATTACTTATATATTTTATATTTATTAGAATAACTTATTTAAGAATTCTATTTTATATAATAATAGTATTATATTTATTAGTTAGTTTCTTGAACTTTCCTAATATTAGTAGCTACCCTAAGGCTATATATATCCGGACTATATATCGAAGCTAGTAATAAGCTTAAATATATAATTAGTTACTATTTCTATTAGTATTTCTTATATAAATATTAGCTATATTTATATTATAAGATATAAGCTTCTAATAATATTACTTTAGTATTTCTTTTAGTAGAAACTCATTAATATCTATATTAGTATATAAATAAACTATTTATATAAAGCTATATAAGATTATATTACTTATTCTAAACTAAATAATTATTAAGAATTATATTATAAAGCTTTATATTTATAAGGTAACTCTAATATTATACCTTATCTAGGGGCCTTATATATAATCTAAATAGCTTACTAACTATTATATTAGGCCTAAATCTGTTTTTTCTAATCTTATAGATATTTTATAAGTCTATAAACCTATATATCTTGTTTTAGATCTACTATATATAAAGTACTAGTAAAGTAATCCGGTTTTATAAGTATTAGTAATTATAATTCCTAATATAGGCTAGTTCCTAAAAGTAGTTCTATATATACTAATCGGAATTAGTTATATAATCCGGTATTATAATATTAGACCTAATAGCCTTAATAAAAAGTAGTATAATTATTAGTACCTAATACTTTCTTTTAATAATAAAAAAAATAAGAAATAGATATAGAAAAACGGAATTACTTATATATTACTAGTATAGCTAGTTCTTCTAAAGCTCCTATTACTAGAATTTAACCTATTAATTCTTAGTACTTTTCCCAGAAATAAAATAGTTCTTTATATATATAACTAATAAATCGGCTATTTATAAGAATATAAAGTATACTTTAGTAATAAGGGGAAGTTTAGAGCCTTAATTAGCCCTAAAGAAATAAAGGCAATAGCTTATTTAAATCTAAATCTAAAGATACTACTATATAACCAAATAAGTAATCTAATTAGAGATTCTAATATATACTTAAATAATATTATATAAATAAATATTAATATAAGTATATATCTCGATTCCAAATAATAATAGCTTATTATATTTATTAATTAACTAAATCCAGTCTGGCCCAGATATAATATATTTTCCCTTCTTAAACTATATCTGTTATATTTATAATATAATTACTTCGGAATTCAGGAATTATAATATTATATATAAACTCTCTCTATAAATAATAAAATATATTAGTAAATAAGGTTCTAATTTTCTAAGCTCGAATAAAATAGTAAAGTATAAAAAGGCTAACCGGGTTACTAGTAAACCTTATTAATAGAAGTATATATATAAATACCGCTATTTATAACCTATAACCCGCCTATTATTTAGCTTACTTTATAATATTATAAATAGTTATTTGTCTGCTATTTATTTATTTATTATAATTATATAGTAAATAAGACTAAGTTTCTTATATATATAGATAATTCTAGTAATTAAAACTATATAGCTATAATTCTTAAGATTCTTAAGTATTTTCTTATTTATATCTTTTAGATAATATAGGATTATAATCTATATATAAAGAAAAGATATATCTATTATTTAAATATATACTTGAATATTTTATTCTTGTAATTAGTATTTAATTATACGGGTATTAATATTAATTTTCTATAAATCTTTTAATCTTATTATAATTATTTTATAGGAAATATTTATATAAGCCTATTTAATAATAATATTATAATATAGTAAAAGATTTATAGAATATTATAGTATTTTAATATAATTAAATAGTATTTTAATATAATTAAATAGTATTTTAATATAATTAAATAGTATTTTAATATAATTAAATAGTATTTTAATATAATTAAATAAGATATTAATAGTATTAATATATTATAAGTTCAGGCTATATATTACTATTACAAAACACTTTTAGTAATATAAGTACTAAATTACTAGAGTAATAGTAAGGCGTATCCTAAAAATAGAGGGGCAGGTACGTACGGTTGTCAGAAATCAGAAAATCAAATCTCGCTTCTCTGTTTTGTCGACTAGCTAGCTGTGGGCCTCAGTAGAGGAGCTAAGGGAACTTGAATTTCCGAGAACCAGAGTTTTATAAAAGTGTCTGAGGAGCTACATCAGATCTTTCCACTGTCATCTACCCATTTTACATCTCACGCAGATTTTGGGCAGCGATGCCCCATCTCCACTGACATTGGCTATATGTTCTATTGGTGCACTTTACCTTACGGACCGGGAAAACGCAACGCTATTCAAAGACCTCGGCACGAGAGCTCTTCAAATTGTGAGCGATGAGTATTACAAGTTCAAGATCAATCCTTACGCTGACTTTCTAGGTTTACAAGGAGGAACCTGACACTCAGTGTCTGTGGGCAGTACAATGCAGACTTCTCATCACATGTGTCAATGCTTTCAATGGCAGGCCATTCGATATTCAAGTTGCCACGGAAAACATGACATTTCTACACAGGGTGAGCGCATTCGAAGATACTTGCTAGATACTCTCTTTATTTTGAGCTCTTCTAATCATTGCTAGGAATTACGTATAAGAATACAGGGTTTACGACCAAGAGTTGATGGGCTCAAAACAACTTCGTGGCCGAAGTGGAGAAACCGCGAAGCTTCGAAGAGGTATCCCCCCGAGTCCAGATCGTCCGTTGCGCGACCGAAATTTCAGAAACTGAGGCCGAAGCAGATTATTATTCGGTATTCTGATTCTAGGTAGCCTCATGTCGGTCACCTATGATCTCAGCCCTGGAGTTCCGATGGCTCCAGGTGTTGACCTCGAATTACCAGAAGATGAAGCACTTTGGGAGGCAGCCTCCGAAGACGAATGGCAGGCAACACGGGGTTCGATCCAAAGTTCCGGGTATGTCCCTGGGCTCAAAGCGGCCTGGAACTTTTTGGCATTTGGTAAAGGTCTCGACCCTTTTGGTGCCGAGTGTACGCCTTGGTCAACCTTTTCTGTCCTTGCGGTAATTCATCTCGTGATCAACCATATGTGGTATCTCATGCAAACTACTCAATATCTCACAATCTTTGCCCTCGATCCCGAGGTTGAACAGAAACTGGGATCTCTATCGGACATCTCAATATCGTCGGCGCTGGGAAGGTGCTACAAGGTGCTGACATCAGGGAGACCTGAATCGGAGCGTTCAAACGATGATCCTGAAGGTCCCATGATCTTCAACTGTCTGGCTCTTCTGCGAATCGGTTTTGTTCGTACCTCAATCGCCGGGGCCGCACTCAACCAAATAGTTCACCTCACCGAAAACGAAGCTACTAGATCCGAGGCAATTCGATCGTACGTCCGCTCCGAGATTCCCCGATCAGCATTTATTCCAGCCGCAGTGCAAAGGATATTCCAGGCCCTCTGTCTTCCACTCTCATCTGGGCATATCCTTACAAAGAAAACGGCGGCATTTACGTGGAGCATTGAACATGCGATTTCTGGATGGGAATGCGGTGAGTGTGAAATTATATCTTACACGAACAAAAGAAAGCTGCTAATTTCTCCTTTAAGCATTATATTTCACTAAGTGGATTCACGTCACCGAGACACAGACGCAAGGAATCCCGTTAAATGCTCAAGAGCAAGAGATCATAGACAATGTCCAGAAAATCTTGCTTGACATTGACGGAGACTGGGAGTGATTGGGGTCCATGGCTCCAGCTATTTGTCGTTTGTGGGCGGGCTTGTATGATGATACTTGGGTATGGGAAGGTATGCCACTCGGCAGGCTCAGAAAGGGCAAGAATCCACCTGAATCGCTTGCTAACTCTGATGCAGCCACCAGACGCATGGGCTTCCTGTTGCGAGAGCTCGCTTCAGCGTTTGAATCTCATGTTGTGTTCTGATAGAATAATCTATTCAATTGTTATCTAGCTTGTTTCAATATGAACACAAACTCTCTATGCAACTTGACTTACGACTTCAAAGCCAAATTATACTCACTTTAACAAACGAAACATCCAAGAAAATTGGTGAGTATAAACAACTCGTTTCCTGCCGGCCATTAAAGCACAACAGAGCGATGGGAAACTTTCATTCCATCCTTAGGTTCAGAATGGACTTCAGTAGTTGTCGAAGAGCTCTCGTCATAGTGCTTAGTGAAATCGTATTTGATATCATTGGAGAACTGCTTCACTTTAGCTTTTGCTTCACCAACTCCCTTTCACGCTGAACAAACTCACCAACTGCATCTTCCTCGAAAGCTCCTTATCCTCATTCGCCTTCCGACAGAGGTCTACAAAGCCGTCCACTTTTTCAGACGTATCGGGATCTTCGAGCAGAAGGCGCAGATTCTGACTTGAGACGACATCGATGACTTCGTGGTATTTTTGTCGGCGTACTTGGTCGTATTTGTCCAAAATCTCTGGAGACGCTTTGCCGAGGTGGATTCCGAGGAGGCAGTCATAGAGGTTTCCAACGTCAACGAGTCCGCCTGTGAGACCGAGTCCGCCACTTCACTTCGCGTTAGCACCTCACCTTGCGCACAAAATAAGACTCGACCTACAAAGGATTACACAAATGCGCCGCGTCAGCAGCAAGCAAGAACCTGCCAACGCGGAACTTCTCCGCACAGCGTTGATGCACTTTATACGGACTGATATTTGTAAGTCTATACTCGCTCGGCTCCGGATGTCCAGGCAGAATCTGCTTGAACTTCATTGGCTGTCGCTTGATATACTCTTCTCTTGAGAGGCCTGGGATATCGCCGTATGTGATTCGAAGGAGGCCGTCGGTCTGGATCTTTGCGACCATGTACCAGTGCTCGGGGTCGACGATGAAATTGGAGTCTAGCCAGTTAAATTTGGACATGTCGTAGTAGGTCTGAGGTTTGAGAGCTAGTTAGATTGTAATTAAGGGAAGGTGTGCGGAAGTAGGGGGAGGAAAATACATTAGTGGCAACGATCTGCTCATCCCACGTTCGTCCCGGGAATGCCATATTTCCAAATAGAGACCGTCGGATCTGGCTATTGCCTCCATCACAACCAACAATATAATCAGCGTACAATGTCCCAGGTCCTCCTGTCGTTTCAACTTTAACCCAAGCCCTCTCCTCATCCTGCCCTATATCCATAACTTTGTGTCCCCACTTCACCTCCACACCCTTCTCCTTTTCCAAACGAGCATAAACAATCTTACTCATCTTATCCAGCGGCAAGCACACCACTCTATTCCCTTCCGGCACGGATTCGGGCGTCATTGCAGCGAGCAAAGTGCCGTCAAGCTTCCGCCATGCCACCCCGTTGGGGACGAAACCAAGAGAGAGAATCTCGTCCAACACCCCGGCACGACGCAGTTCATCCACTGTTGGTGCAGCGTAGTGTGTTGCGCGGGGTTGGGCATCCAACGCTGAGGCTGCATCCAGAATAGTGACCTTGACGCCTTTTTGGGCCAGCAGGAGCGAGAGCACCAGACCTGAAGGTCCGGCACCGACGACCATCACCTGCAAATTTACGAAGTCAGAGGACTGGGGCTTGTTGAGACCGATCTGACCGAACATCTTATTTGCTGAAGAAGAGAGGGGAGGGGGGCACTGACCTCGATTCCATGACCTCGGTGGCCTTTTATGTGACCGTTCGTTGACCCATTCATAATTACAGCGAATTATTCTCCTCTGTCCTTTTCTGGGTTCTGATCTGTGATATTGAAACAACTTAGAATATTCAAGGTGATATAATGGCAATGGAAGTCACTATTTCTGGTGAACATAGCTACAGCTTCGCGCCCAGGGGGAACCCCGCCTTAATCCTCCCTCCCCGCACTCCGCTCAATCAGGCTTAGGCTGGGGTAAGCGGATACTCTTGAGAACTCCACGTCAACACTTCGATCATTTTTTGTTAGTGGAAAAACAAACTGGGGAACTCCCAATTTCTCCAAAGATCTAGAAAGTCTACTGTGCGGGGAAGTTTCCCCAAGACTGAAGTGTTGATAATGCTAATTATGGAGCCCTTCCGCCCCTGTTGATCATGTCGTTTGACAGCTCCTTGACTCCTTTTAGATCGTTCAGAAGAATTTCCTCCAAGCATTACCCATCATGCCTTTCCTCTGTGCTCTCGATGACAAGAACCTCTCACGCGTTCCGGAGTACCAGGCTCACTCGGAGGCCATCACGTCAAGCCTGAAGCATGGAACTGGAAAATCCGCTCACATTCTGCTATCACCTCAGCCATCAGATGACCCAAACGATCCACTCAGTGTGTCAAAAAAATAATTAAGGTAATTAATTATATTTAATTAAATCAAGTAAATAATTAATTATAATTTGATTATCGACTTTCAAAAAAAAAATTTAATTATTAGAAAAATTATAATTAAATATAATTAAATATTTCTAATTATCACGTGAAACCCATATAAAAGTTATATAAGTAATAAATTCTCATCTTTTTCTTTAAAGCATATACGACTAAAGCATAAAGAGAGTAAAGGTTAATTGATTTCCAAAGAAGAGAGAAGGAGAGCAAGGTAATATATATGTGAATTATTTGCTCTGGATATCACATGACCGCACCCACGTGACTAGAGAAGTCAAAACCCCTACTATAGTACTTATTTACAAAGATAAGTAAAGCGAGTAAAGGCGGAATACTAGCTATTAAGCTTATAATAGTAAGGCGATATCTAAATTAGGGTAAAATACGCTTTGCTTTTGCGCCATGACGCTTATATTATTTTTATAGTTATGTATAATAACACGTGACCCAGTAATTAATTATATTTAATTAAATTAAGCAAATAATTAATTATAATTTGATTACTACGATTCTGACTTAATTTAATTTGATTACCGGCCAATAATTATAATTAATTAAATTATTTGACACACTGGATCCACTTAACTGGCCCATGGCCAAAAGAATCACTTGTATTCTCATTATATTCTGGGGTGCAACTATGTATAGCAGAACAGTCGGTCCTCTTCTGAACACCGAGCTTTTCGTTATTGCACAAGAGTTCAACGTCACTATTGCAGATGTGGTTATCATATCGGCCTATCAACTGTTGATCGTCGCCCTCACAAGGCCCATTATCTCGGCCATTGGAAGAAAGTGGGGCAAACGGCCATGCCTGCTGATCTCTTGCCTCTTCTCTCTCATTGGATCCATTGTGGCTCCACTTCAAAAGATCTCAAGACCCTCCTTGCCGCTCGCGCGATCCAGGGTTTTGGCGTTGCGGCTTACGAGTCACTATTATTCCCTATTATTGGCGACCTCTTCATCGTCCATCAAAGAGGTCCTTACACAGCAATGGGGAATTTCGTTCTAGCTGGGGTTACTAATCTTTGTGGCATTGTCACGGGTTCAATCACTAATAACTTGGGCTGGAAGTACCTGTTTCACATCTTAGTTGCTCTCATTCAGCTCGTAGGGATCCCTTTTCAGCTGCCCCTTTTCAGCTGCCCCCTTTCAGCTACCCCCTTTCAGCTACCCCTTTTCAGCTGCCCCTTTTCAGCTGCCCCCTTTCAGCTACCCCTTTTCAGCTACCCCTTTTCAGCTGGGCCTCACCATTTGACCAAAATCCAGGATTATTAGATGCGATTGGCCGATAAATAAATACTAGCCAATTCATGGATATATTTGTGAATCAGTGATTATTCATCAAAAACCCATGATATTAACGAAACAGGCCATTGTATTGGTCAATATAGAATTTGGCGTCAGATACCGATATCGATACTGATACCAAAAATATCGATAAAGTATCAATACCTTAGGTATCGAAAACACCCCTTCCTAGAACGCCCCTTAGCTTTTGAATGATAAACCCTGCCTCTGCCAGCTTCTCCATCCAGCTTGCTTTGCCAGAGCATTCCCTACTTGCAGCTATTACATAGCATGGAATTGATCTCAACTCACTGAACTCAGTCCCCTAAGTCATCCTAGTACCCACTTAGGAACCGTATCGCCAAGCCCCTACTGGTAGCAACGGCTCGACATCTCTCCCGAGCCTGAGGTCACCGGATCCTCTTCAACAACAGCAGCAGCGTATGGGCTCACCTCTGCCTCATCCTCCGGTCGCCCAAATGGATCACAACTATGGCCAGACCTTGCCCCATCCATCCCTATACCCCAATATTATCTCGCATCCTACGGGTCATAATATGCGATATGTGCTTCCTATCACGGATTCTCGAGTCATGAGCGACGGCAATAGTAAGTCACCCTACATCTACTATTAGTTGAGCTCCATAAGTAGCATCCGAGGAGCGTTTTAACAGTATTGTCATTCGTGAACTAAGTTGAATCAGTCTTGTCTATCGACCGATCCACCCCGATCCCGAATCAGCCCCAGGCAACCCAGTTCTTATGCGGCCTATGCCAGGAGATTTTCCAAGAGCATGTCTGGCATGACCAACACACAACCGGGAATGAGAGTGGAGGAACTGTGGATCATCATCCAACATATGACAGCTTCATCAACGCCGTTGTCAAGGGCTGCTACATCTGTGTGCTGTTGTGGGAGCGCATTCCGCAAGACGCCAAGATGGCATTGCCTACATTGTGCAGTGATTATGTGCTGTTGAAATGCAACTTCTGGATGCAGCAGTATGACAAGTCACAGTTGAAACTTGTTGAAGTCTACACAAATTCAGCACATGACTTCGCTTTGCGCCCGCCGGGAACTAATGCTATTACAGTTTCGTTGAACAGTTCACCGACCAATGGTGCGTCGAGATCTTGTTCAAGCGTTGTTCTATGTATCATGCTGATGAACTGTTATTAATTTGGTGCTATAAGACTTCCCCCAATACGAACCGACAGTTGACGCAGGCCCGAATACCAATTCAAGTGCGGCCTGGGCCTGTATCGCTAGGTGGCTTGAGAGCTGCTCCAAGCACCATGCTTCATGTCGGCATCCAGATCAGTCCCCATACGCATCACGATATCCTACGAGACTCCTGGATGTTGGTGCCAACGATAGCGGCAACAATAATATTAAGCTCGTTGAGACCAATGCCGTAGTTCTTGAAGGACCGTATGCTACTCTCAGTCACTGCTGGGGTCCCGGACCTGTTACTTCTCTCACTAAGGCAACTAAACAGCAATTTTTGCTCGAACTGCCTGCTGTTCCAAAAACCTTCGGAGATGCCATTGTTGTGGCTCGGAAACTCCACATTCGGTACTTGTGGATCGACAGTTTGTGCATAATCCAAGATGACCCAGAAGACTGGCAAACTGAGTCTCTGCTGATGGATCAAGTCTATAAGAATGCTCTTTTGAATATCGCCGCTACTGCAGCGTCTGATAGTCGTGGGGGGTTATTTCATTCCAGACCTCACTTAGTTCCTTGTTGTCAGATAAAACTTGGAGAAGAATGGTTTCGCTTTTTTGACACATCTCTGTTCATTGCTGAGGTAGAAAACTCTCCGCTCCTGCAGGTGAGCGACCATCAGATATCTGCAACGTACTTGAGCTGATTATATAGAGAGCCTGGGTGCTCCAAGAACGTCTCCTCGCGCCGAGGGTCTTGCACTTTGGCCGCAAGCAGTTGTTCTGGGAGTGTAACGAGTTATGCGCCTCCGAGACATTCCCAGATGGACAACCACCTGGAGGAATCCAAAATGGCACACAGCAGATCCGTGCTAGAATCAGTGCAATGGTGCCTAAGTCGGAATCGATAACGAAAGGACACGAACGAGAAGTACTTGAAATTTGGCGCTCTATATTATTTCTGTACACAAGGTCGAACCTAACCTTCGGAACTGACAAACTACGCGCCTTGGCAGGAATTGTAAAACATATCCAGCCTCTCTTTGGAAACACCTACCGTGTAGGTATTTGGAAGGATAGCATCATACTCCTCCTTGGGTGGTATTGCTTCAGTGGGAGCTTGCGTCGATTGCTACCAAGACCGGTAGAATATCGTGCTCCAACTTGGTCCTGGTCGTCAACAGACAACCCCATCACCTTTTGGCTCCCGTTTCCTCGTTCTGAGACTGTCTTTGACTTGAAAGTATTAGCGTTCGAGACCACTACAATAGGAGACGACACTGCCATGCGTAACGGTAGTGGTTACCTGCTTGTAGAAGGACCGCTCAACTTAGTCACAATTGACAAGAACTGGATGCATTTTATCGTTGACGGGAGACCGATCACCTTAAGTAGAAGTGGCCGTGACGGGCCTTGGCTAGACGAGGACACGGAACTAGCGATGGATCTTTACTGTCTACCTCTCCACCATACCGTTGTGCCCAAAAACAGGGTTGCTGGTGAATACGACGATATGAACTCAGGTTCAGTAGAGGACGGAAACACCTACCTTATTAGCTTTCTGCTACTTAAGCCAAAAGGTGATTATCTTGGTTTTTATACCCGTTGTGGAGTTTGGCGTTCAGAAGGTACGGAGGGGCTGTTGCGTGTTCAAACTGGACGTGAAGCTCCGTGCCAGGAATTCATTGGGCTAGAGAGGGGTCATAGAATTAGGATTTACTAATAGTAGACCGATATTTATTATACTACTTTCCCAAATAGAAACCTCCTTTGTCAGCTAATATAAGTAGTATGCATATCTCTTGTAACCTTGCAAAAGTATCCCTTGGTCCGGTGAGACATTACCAGGCGCTAGCAAGGGGGGTGTGGCTGCACGCAAGCCTCTTGAAGCGTAATAAAACGAGATGAGGCTTGCGTGCAGCCACACCCCCCTTGCTAGCGCTGGACATGTCTCACCGGACGAAGGGATACGGCAACCAGAGGCCGCCATAATTACAGGGCCTTACAGGCTTGTCATGCTTAAATAATAGCACTCAAGCCCTGTAAATATTACTAATAGCGATATTCCTTCAGGCAACTGAGGTCCTAAGCCCCCTTGCTATGCCAGAGCTATGTGGCATTCTTAGGCTTGGCGCCCACCCCTGCCAGTTGCAAGACTTATGGCCGCGTCCTCCGTACCTGATATGTTATGCAGTCACAGCCACGTCCCGTCCCAACCTAGCACTGTTGCCAGAGTAACGAGCAACCTGCAACCTCCAACCTCGACGATCAATTTGTATCGTCACTACCTATTTACGAACTCAACTCGACTTTGAAGATCAATATGCCAGGCGCCCAAGAACACACGGAGGAATCAGCCACAGAAAATAGATCAAACCTTGTCATTGCAGAGAGATCTCCACCCAATTTGCTGTCAGGCGACCCCGCACTATTTGCTACACAGCTGACTTCTTCCAAGAGACCCACAACCCATCGTTGAGGTCCATGTTACTTCCCCGGAAGGGCAGACGCAGAGCTTCAAAATACACAAGAACTTCATATGCTATTACTCCCCCTTCTTCGATGCGGCATTCAATAGTAAATCAGTAGAAGGGGAAAGTCAGGGTCCGGAATTGGACGATACACCTCACGACGTGTTCGGTATATTCGTCAATTGGCTGTACATGCAAACGATCAACATAGAATCCAACCGTGAATGGCCTATCCGTTGCATGCTTCTCGTGAACATCTGGCTGCTGGCTGACAGAGTTATGGTTCCTCGGCTTCAAAAAGAGGCCCTTTGTTTACTGGGCGAGGCTGGGAGGATGAATGGAGAATTTCCGCCATCCCAATACCAACGTATTTACCGGAATACTACACAAGATAGCCCGCTCCGCGCCTGCATTGTCAAAATGTGGCGAGACCTGACTATCTCGAATTCCGAACTATATCCACGAGAATTACTCGTCGATCTTGTCAATAGACTAGGGCCAATAAAGCGTAGGCTGGAAGTAGAACGTTTCTGTGACGCGTTTGCGGCAGTTGATGAGGATTCAAACTTGTTCGAACCGTTCGATATGGACTTTGAACCATTAATCGCGGAGAAAACTCGGGTCAGCTCAGATATGCTTGAGGCACCCCAGGAGGGGAAGACGAAACGAAAGTTGGTCCAGACAGGTTTTACGGAAGAAAACATAAGAGGCTCTATTGCGTGAGGAAACTACAGTTTTCCCATCCTTTGAACGAGTGCTAGGGTGTTGATAGGAATAAAGAGGTACGCTCCATCCAGGCTGTGGATTTTCTTTTGGGCTTCTGATAACGGCGCCGCTGCTTACGAATCTAATACTATTTTTTGAATATCCATGCTCTCGTTCTTCTTTAACGTTTCTTACCTTATTGGGCCATTTGCCCAGTGTACATCGAGTTGCTGTCATGTGGTATTTGTTGTCACTCTCCATGTCTTTCAACCCTTCCTTGAGAACCGTTTTCCTAACACCCTCTTTCCACAATTACCTAATCAAATTTGCAAATCAAGTATAGTTTCTTCAAAGGAGTGAGGATCATCACAGTGTTTTGAGGAAACATATTTGGCATTGGCATGTTGAATTTGTGGACGGACCACCGAGAAGAAATTTGAAGTTGGCAGAGGGCTATATGCCGAGTCCCAGGCAGTTTCCATTTTGAGAATGCAAGCTGAGTTAAAACATTCGAAAACTGAAGAGCCAGCGCGGCGAGTAATGACTCGGATGAGAGAGCGTGGCGGTGCGTTATGCATCTAGTTAGCTTCCCCACTACACCTGCTCTAGCACATTCAACCGGAGGCCGCATAGGTGAAGATGTGCTGTCTTTCACTGCTTTGCTATATAAACTTGGTCAGATATCCTAATTCTTTGAGATTGCATCTACAAAAGGAATGATGGACGAGTACAAGGTCGGCGGAGGCCCGAACCTTCCCAATCCCACGAGTGTCTCATTGTCCTGTGCCAACTCTCTTTTACCCCCTTGATCTGTAAAATATGCCACCTTTTTGCTGCTCCAGGAGCGTACTGCAAACTATGAAGTGATTTCTTGTTGTTAATCCCGATTTTGTTGTCAAAGTCCCGACGAGAGGCTTCTCTATTCAGCTCCACGTCTTCTTCCAAGGGGGGAAAAGCAATTTGAATTGAAATCCAACCGATATCACCGCACGGAAGTAAAAGAGCACTAGAGGGGACAGTGTGCCAGTAAGGACTGCAAAGCAGAGCGATGAAATTGTTTTAGATCAATGATTATGACACGGCAGGTAATTTTATACCCTGGTGCTCACGAAGCGTCAGTCGTCCGTGTCAAAAGTGACAATACCGAAATAAGGGCGCTCCGCAAGAGTTCAGAAACGATAGGCTGAAGTTTCCCACGGCTATAAAAAACGGACCACTTTCCCATTCTCTTCTTTGCAAGACTGATATAAGCGATTTGAACGATTCAAGGGAGTCGGAAATACCACGGGTCCAAAGAGATGATTCTGCCCTAAGCTCAACTTGTCCCTTTCTTTTGAAATAGTTCCAATCCTTCAGAGGCTGGAGTGTGTATACCAGCTGCAAATATGTGTTGTCAAGCCGTACTTTGTTGTCAAGTCGCACTTTGTTGTCAAAATCTCGCTCGTTATTACAATGTCCTTGTTCCAAAGACCGGATATTGGGTCTTCTCCGCTTCACATGTTAACTCTGCACCCAGCCTTGTCGAGGATAATGCAACGAAGTTGAAACATGAAGAGGTCGCAGTGTGGCAGTAACGAGTGTTACTTATACGAAGGCGTGCCGAATTGAAAACTGTCCGTTTCGCTAAGCGAGAGTTTTGAAAATTATTCCCTCACCTTTAAAAAATCGTAATAAAACTCCCTAAAAGTTTAGAACCACGAAACCGTCAAAAAAGATACTTTTGACTTCTTTTCTATTACTTAAAGCTCAATTTAAAGTATTCAGACTTGGTAGTACTACGATGCGTAATTTTCAAAAACTAGAGATCTTAGTATTCCTTGCCTTAGGCGAAAATGGACGGATTTCAATTCGATACACCTTCGTAACGCTCACCTAACCTCAGTCCATAGTACGAGGCTGATCGAGTCTCAACCTTGAAGCGGATGAGTTATTTCGTATTATTCCGTATTTCATCGTTTTTTCCCCCGTTCACTAGCGTATTCTTCTATCAATTGATGCCGCGTATTCTTTGAGCAAAGCTGCATTAAGGAGATTAGTATTTATTGCACCTAACCTATTTACGAGATGAACTCCTTGCCCTTGCTCTTTTGTGAATAAACATCGAGCATATTCACTAACCGCAGCTCCTCTAAGCAAAAAACAAGCGAAGTCGGGACAACATGCCCCGCTTTGCCCACGATATAAACCGCTCTTTTCTTGACTCTAGGTAAAAGAATTATACTCGAAGAAGGATGCCAAATAACCCTTGCGGAACGGCGCGGTCTGTCTTATCCCTAATGAAAGGAGACAATATCCCTAGCCCTGAGCTTTTCTCTTTCTCTGTGAAAGCTTTCGCACCTACACTCATGTCCATTATTACCTTTATTGCAAAGTAGTACTGTCACGCTGGTTAAGCTTGTCAGTGCATTATTTACTATCAAAGTCCCGACGAAATCTCCTTTCCTTATAGCTATGCACTTTAACGAAACGATACCCGTCTCACACTATCTAGTTCAATGAAGTGCTAGTAAGTGCGTAGCGTGACTATGCCTGCAAGTGACTTGAGACACAGCCACAGTGCATCCAGTCGGAGGGCCTCCTTCAAGGTTATTATTATCAAATTCACGTCAAAGGGGCGCGATTTATCGACTTACGGGGGGCTTTTCCTCGGGTAGATATGTCTGGCATGTTACTGTGTAAATGAGGAGGATTGTCTTTCACTAAGTGGTAGATAAACAAAATCAATATACTGATCTATCCCCATAATATAAGCCTCTCACTGTGCTCTTTTGAAAGAAGGCAAGGCAGGGATAAGGGAACTCAGACGCAATATACTAACCTCTGCCCACGCATGAGCCCTTCCACTTGCTCTTTCTAAAGCAGGTAATAATAATAAATGTTAGCTCATTATCCTAATCCTCCCTACGGCATGAACTTCTCACAATGCTCTTTGAGAGGAAGTGAACAATATCGGGAGTCAGCAGTGTATTTCTCACTGCCTACAACATGAATTATTCACTCCCCTCAAAAAAATAAGAAAGGTAAAAGTTAGCAGAACTTGCTACTCTTTCTATAAGGGTTGTACTGCCCTGCTTGCACGCAATAAACTACTTCCCACACGCCAGGTACCCCTCTCCTCGCACGTAATGTACTGCCCTTCTCGTGATATATAAAAGCATCTCCCTACCTCTAGATTCCGTAAATTAAAAGGGAATAGTCACGTCGCATGGCGAAGATTACGTGGCCATTGTCTATAACAATTTACGAAGCAAAGCAAAGTGAGCTAAGAATGCCCCTATTACCTAGAAAGCTAAGATATCCCGACCATTATACGTCTCACCTCTTTGTGTGCCCACCTTCCCATTGTTGTTAATACCCCCTTGTTGTCATTCCCCTCTTTGCTATCAATTCCGATGAAACAAAGAAGCAAACCACACTGTAATCTTTATACCCACTCTAGATTGCAAAGACTGTGATAGAGCACGATAGAACCCGCGATAGAGCTACGTATCTCAATAGTGTTGTGTTGTGTGATAGAGTCGCCGGCCATCGAGGTTTGGTGGGCTGTTGCCCCATCCCATGGCGAAAGGATACGGGTCGATCTCAAGGCAACTGCGGTCCAATTTATCGCCTTGTAATCAACCAAGTTTAGCACCAGCTATAAAGGGTCTTGATTCACCAACGTGAATCACAGCAGTGTAAAGAAAACGAGGAGGTGAGGTGAGTACGAATTGGCTGCCGAGTGGCCTGGGAAGTGTACGCGAGGAAGTATAAGGAATCCCAGTGTGGGCTCCGATAAATTATTGATCGGGATTATCAATTAGTAATCATTATCGGCTAAGCGATTAATAAATGATCAATATTAATAATTATTGTCGATAAAAGTGGGCCCAGCCATTAAACGAGCCCTATTACGGCTTTCTAGTTTAATTATAAACCGATTAGTATTAAGATTAGTATAAAAGTATACTATTATTACTATACTATTAGACTTTTTAACTTTTTATTTAATAGTCTATTATATAATATAGACTAGCTAGTATCTAATCCAGTTATTAATAATTCTATTAATAAAAGTAGGTCTAGCTAGCCCTTAAGCAAGCCCCATTACCTCAATAATTATTAATAAAAGTGGGCCCAGCCAGTTATTAAGCGAGCCCTATTACCTTAATAATTATTAATAAAAGTGGGCCTAGCCATTAAACGAGCCCTATTATGGCTTTCTAGTTTAATTATAAACCAATTAGTATTAAGATTAGTATAAAAGTATACTATTATTACTATACTATTAGATTTTTTAACTTTTTATTTAATAGTCTATTATATAATATAGACTAGCTAGTATCTAATTTAGTTATTAATAATTCTATTAATAAAAGTGGGTCTAGCTAGCCCTTAAGCGAGCCCTATTACCTTAATAATTATTAATAAAAGTGAGTCCAGCTAGCCTTTAAGCAAGCCCTATTACCTTAATAATTATTAATAAAAGTGAGCCTAGCTAGCTATTAAATAAGTTTTATTATATGAATATCTCGCTTTCTAGTTTAATTATAAACTAATTAGTATAAAGATTAGTATAAAAATAAACTATTATAAATATATTATTATACTTTTTATTTAATAGTCTATTATATAATATAGACTAGCCAGTATTTAATATATAATACTAAGATTTATATTACTATTTCTTCTAAAAAAGATTAAAATTTTTATATTTTCTTTTATTCTCTCTTTAATATATAATAGTACTTTATTTTCTATTATTTAAATATAGCTTCTAAATCTGCTTTATTAATTTATTAAGCCTCTACTAATATAAACTCGACTTAATCCAAATCTAATTCTAAATAAAAAGAACTTATAAGAGCTATTTGGGCTTATACTTATTTCAGGTATCTAGATATAGGAGAACTACCTAAATACTATTATTATTTTCCTTATAAAAAGAAAAATCTACTAAATATTTATTTGACTTTAGTCTTTACTAATTAATATAATTATCTCAAGTTAATATATAATATTACTATTAAGAGCGGATTAGAAATTAGTCTACTTTAATTAAAAGTAATTAACTAGCTATAATAGCTTTACTTATAAATAGAGTTATCTGGCCAAATAACTAAAATTAATATATATATCTTTTAATAATATCTTAATTAGGTAGTAATTTATAAAGCTTTAATTTCATTAATTATTATCTATAATCTATCTTTTTAAATAGTTAAATAGCCCGAATTTCATATCTTTTATTAAATATTTAATCCAGAATCTTAGCTCTTTCTTTTTATAACTCACTTTTATATAAGAAAAAAGCT